TGTGAGGGGATGTCCTCTTCCAGGCAGCTTCCAGGCCGTGCTAATGGAGAGAAGGGAGCCCTTACTGCTTCCCTGCACCTGGCAGCATCTTTCCCAAGGGAATTTGGATGAGGCAGGGGGGGGAGGGAACACAGCCCTCCTGCACCCCACCTCGTCCAGCTTCTGCCTGCTGGATGGCTGTAGCTCCAGCTTTGCCTCGCCTACACACAAGCAACACAGGGCTGTACAACAGCAGAGCCCTTAACAGCCGTGGCTTTCCAAATTGGGGAGGGGGCTCGTTTGCTCCCTGTCCTGCTAATTAAACAATTCCCAGCCCCCCCCCCCTTGGCCCTGAAGTCAAAGATCTGCTTTGATATATTAGACAGAAATGGGGAGAGGGGAGCCCCCCCCCCAAAAAAAAAAAAAAAAGTCAGATATGGACCACACTGCGGCTGGGATGCTGATTTGCACAGGGCAAGTCTCTTCCTTATAGTAGCAAGTAGCACATACATAGGAAAGCTGGTTAATAAAGGAATTAAGCAGCTCATTTAATTCTTAGGTCTTTTTTCCTCCAGGGCTGGGCTACTCCCACACCTCCCCTCCATCCCCATTCCTCCTGTAACAGCAGGGAAGATTTTGTGAAATCAGGTGCTACGTGGCACCCAACGCTCAGAATAAGACGTCTGAGATAAGATAGTTTCTGCACGAAAAGGCTTTGTTTGTTTGTTTTACCCTTTTTTGCTGAAGATGAGGGGCTCGAACCCCCACACCCTTAATGCTATATATAAAGAAAGGGAACCCCAAGAGGAGAAAGACCTCAAAGACCCAGCAGCTGCCCTAGTACAGGGAGCTCGGGCTGGTCGCTGACACCAGAGCCCCATGTTACAGACGCTAGCACACCGGGCTGTATCAAAACCTGAGTTTAATGTATTCAAGCAACGCCACCACCAAGGAAGTGGGGGAAACTGGATCCCAAATGGGGCGCGGGGAAGGCGGGCTGCGGTCCAAGGCCATCGTGCCATGGCTGCTGCGGGTTCCCAGGGTCAGGCCGAGCCCAGTGAGTCCCTGGCAGCTTTTTCTTTCTCTTCCGCTCTGGGCTTCATTTCTGGGCAGGAGGGAGAGAAGGAAATTATTAAGCTAGGTGCTGGAGTGAGCTCAGGCGGGGCTCTTGGGCTTTCTCTGCCAGCGTGTGACTAGCCAAAGCACCAGGCGCACTAGCCCTGTGGTTGCTGTGGCAACACAGATGCTAAAAACAGCTCAATTCGTCCTTTTTTTTTTTTTTCTTTCTCCTTTTTTCCTCTCTAAACCACAGACCTCAGGATGCATAGTCAGGGCCAGGAAAGGAACCCAGGCATCCTGGCTCCAACTCCGCAAGAGATTAGCTGTCTAGCAGAGCCTAGAAACCACGGCTGCACAGGCCAGGGAGCCACGTGAGCCCGCCAAGGAGAGGCCCCCCCCCCCCACACCCCAAAAT